AGGGCGTCGTGTCGGCTGCAGGAAAACGTGCAACCACTCGGTCAAATGAACAGGAGGAAAACCAGGGAAGGATAGTGGGATTGGAACGCGGGAGTTGGAGCGGAGGGATTGCCCGGTTCCTTCGAGTGTGGCGCAGAGCTGTGAGGTGACCCTGTGGGAGCTTGGAAAGACCATTTTGCTTTAAATGACCCGTTTGTCGTAGATTGAGTGGAAGCCATAGAAGCGTAGTTTGACTGGAAGTTTATCTGTCAGCAGAGTGAGCTGTATTTGATTTGCTCGTGGCTAAAACAGTGATCTTCTCTTGCCTTTCAGCTCCTCCTGAGCTCCTGCAGGCGCTGTTCTTCAGGAGTCCTTCCCAATGAGAGGATCCGCAACATTGGGATCTCGGCCCACATCGACTCGGGGAAGACAACGCTAACGGAACGAATCCTCTTCTATACGGGCAGGATAGCACAAATGCACGAGGTCGGTTTTCAGAGGACTCCAGAACAGAGCTGCTCTTCGTGGGCTGAGCGTGCTGGGTGCCATCGCGACGTCGCTGTGGCTCGTTTGCGCGGTGTAGTGTGTGGGGTGAGGGAGCTACGCTTGGTGGGCCCAGTGAGGCTCTTCTGGCCAAACTGGAGAAGAAGCCCTAAAAATCTACTGGCTTCCCCAGTACCCCTTTAAAAGTAACTGGAGGGCAAGGGAATAGAAAGTAATCCTCCTTTACTGCAGTGTTCTCCCTTTTTCAGAACACTTCAGACCTCTTGCTCTTCTCCCCGGTAATTAGCGATAGGACGAGAGGCAATGGTCTCAAGTTGCGCCAGGGGAGGTTCAGGCTGGACATTAGAAAGAACTTCTTCACTGTTAGAGTCGTTAGGCATTGGAACGGGCTCCCCAGGGAGGCGGTGGAGTCATAGTCCCTGGATGTGTGCAAAAAACGTTTAGATGTGGCACTTCAAGACATGGTTTAGTGGACAGGGTGGCATCAGGTATACGGTTGGACTTGATGATCTTTGAGGTCTCTTCCAACCATAATGATTCTATGATTCTATGATTTAAGGGTTACTTCTCCCTTACCATCTCCGTGGTAAATGTGCAAGGGAAGATATATGTTTCTTTTGATGTAGTCAAAGACGACTGTGAGAAACAGAGAACATAGGGATGTCATTTTTAGCTTCAGGTATGTTAGCTTGTTAAATCCATAGTGAAGCATGATTTGCCACAGATTTCTGATAACCTTTTTCAGGAGTGATCCTCAGGAGAGCAAAATACTTTGAAGTTGCAGGTGCAGCAGCAAAAAAATTCAAACTTCTTTGTAGTTCAGGAATTCTAACTGATTCTGCTATGTCTGCTTTTCTTCACTGCATGAAAGATGATGCTTGGTATATAAAGCATCATTCCTGCATGTGCAAAATTCTTGGTAAACTCCCTTAAACTAAATATTTTTTTTTTCATTTTTTTTTTCTTTTTTTTCTTTTTTCCTAAGGTGAAAGGTAAGGATGGAGTTGGAGCTGTCATGGATTCGATGGAGCTAGAGCGACAGCGTGGAATCACAATTCAGTCTGCAGCAACCTACACCATGTGGAAAGACACCAACATCAACATCATAGACACACCAGGTCTGAATGCATTAAGATTGCTGTTCCTTCATGTATGCAAACAGCACAGTGCCATCTTTGTGTTCATCAGTCACTCGAGCTAATAGGACTCTTTTTGCATAGCTGGAGACTGATTCTGTTGGCTGTCGCTCTTTTCTGCAGCTATAAGAAAGCAATTCCTCGTTACCTTGTATCATCTATGAATAACGGGTTTTTTTTCGTTATTCAGGGCATGTGGACTTCACAATTGAAGTGGAGAGATCTTTGAGAGTTCTTGATGGTGCTATTCTGGTCCTCTGTGCTGTTGGAGGAGTTCAGTGCCAGACAATAACTGTGAACAGGCAGATGAAACGTTACAGCGTGCCATTTTTAACATTCATCAATAAACTGGACCGATGGGGCTCTAATCCAACCAGAGCAGTACAACAATTGAGGTATTTAGAATTACTTGTGAAATAATTCTGAACTATTCACATAGCAGTTTAATACTAAGAATATTGAAAAGGGTTCTTTTGTGAGATCCGTAGTTGCAGTGTGGAGGATAATACGTGACTTGAGGTCAAATCTCAATATGACAAGTCTCCATTTGCTGAAGAAAAACAAATGTTAGTGTCAGCCCAGGCTTGCAGTAACTGAGAGTTGGGGGTTTTGTATCTGTTTTGTTGATGGGAGCCACTTTGAAAACAGCCTCTTAATTTTTCCTAGATCCTGGTAGCAAAGGTGCTGTAGCTTATAGCAGAGAGATGACATGGCGTTGGACAGTTTCTAGGTGGGATACCAGAAGTCGTGCTTGCTCCTTACCTGGAGTCTTTCTGTGCCTAATTTGATTTGCAAGATACATGCATTAACATGCATTAAGGGAGAAGCAGCTCCCATAATCAAGGAATTAATCTGAAACCAGTTTGCACTGCTGCCTTTCCCATGAAAGTATCTGTCGGGATATAGAGGGCTGGCAGTCACTCAGGTTGAAATGCAAGTACGCGTTTTTTGTCAGTATTGGTACATTTTTGGCACTGTCCAAAGAACAAAAGATCGTGATTTTGTAGGAGTGGGATGTTGTTCAAAGATCATCTGGAGCACATGTATAAAATCGATTCTTTTTTTTCTTGAACTAATTTATATTTGCACACTTTTTCAGATCCAAGTTAAAACACAATGCAGCTTTTGTTCAGATTCCAGTTGGGCTGGAGGGAAACTTTAAAGGAGTTATAGATCTTATCGAAGAAAGAGCTATATATTTTGATGGTGCGCTTGGGTAAGTTTTGAAACTTGTCTGTTTCTTAGCTGGAGCTAGTCTTTCTATGAGGAACTAGCAATAGTTTCTCTTCAGAGATGAAAAAGGCTGCAATTTGGAAAATGAGGGATGTGGCTTGTGCTAGGGCTGAGGTATCGCCCTTCAGCTCTCCAAGTTACAGCAAAGTGATTTTGCAGCATCAGGTTTAGTGATGGGAACCTGCAGCATGAATTGTTTGCTAACTGCATAGTGTGAAGGGGCGGTAGCCACACTTGCCACCCTGAGAAGCAGGCGACTTGCTTCATAACGGGAACTGATAGTGTATGTTTGGTGTGAGCTTGCTGGCATGAAGATAAGATGTGGGCAAGGCTGTTGAACAGGTTATCCTGCATAAAAAACCCTCTCCTGCTAAAGCATCAAAGATAACACGTTGATGTTCTTACGTGACTTTATTTCAATATCCGTGTCAACAGTGAATTTTTCTTGGTCAGGCTGGTCATCACAATCATTAGTGATTGAAAGGTTGATTCATGTGGTATTCCTTTAGAGTGGTTATGTTATTTTATGTATGTGTAGCCAGACTCTTCGGTATGATGAAATTCCAGCTGAGTTTAGAGCTGAGGCTGCAGAGAGACGTCGGGAGTTGATCGAGTGTGTTGCTAACTCGGATGATCAACTTGGGGAGCTGTTTTTGGAAGAAAAGATTCCTACAGTTGCCGAGTTAAAGGTAACTTTATCGTGGTTCTTCTTCCTGTAGTGCTGTTATCTCAGTCTTTTGTGTCTCTATGCCCCCTCATCCTCCAATAAAAATTTCTTTAAGTCTTGAAGAAATTTTGTTTCCTTGAGTTCTCTGGTATGAGTGTCACCTCCCACAGGTGGACTCCCACTTCACTCCTTGTTGAGTGCCCATTCCAAATTTGTTTTTTTGATTTGCATTGGAAAATCTGAGCTTGTGCGTGCCCTTTAGGGACCAGCAAATGGCTCAAAGCTACATCTAGTCATTTTTGTCATTTTGTTGCCTTGCTGTGTTACAGCTTGATGGCTATGACTTGCTTTGAGTCCCACAGCAAGTCAGTTGTTGAGATGCTGTAAGTCGTCTTTGTGCCTAGGAAATCCTGCCTTATTTTGTATTTGCATTGATTACATCCATCTGAGAGGAAAAGAGCAATACACTAGAAGGGAGCTGGAATGACTTGACTTGGAGACTCCAGAGGAAATGAGTCTGGGTCAAAATACAATTTTCAAAAAAGAAGAAAGTTGCATTTCTTTAAAGAGGGGGAAAAATGATACGTGATTAATTTTATGAAATACTTTAGATATGAAGTGGCAAACATGGCAACAGAAAGCGATGCTCACAAAAGTAATTAATAACACTATTTTCCCAACATCAGGTGGCCGTAGACTGAAAATTATTTGTTTCCGTGACAGTTTGATATCACTGTTTGTTCAAGTGTCTGTCCACATACTAAAAGGTGGTAGGGAGGCCTAGGAAGGTCAGCTGCAGTTGTCGAGTCTTTATGGAAGTCCTGCCACTGCTCGCTCCAGGATGAGATCCACTTGTGCGGTTCCTTGGAGGCTGGACAGCCGACTAACACATATTCCTTCTTTTAGACTGGTTCATGTCAGATTTGGCAATCTAGACATACCATAGCGGATTGTTACGTGGAATGGCAGTCCCTTCTTTAAGGAGCGTAGCTGACTAACGATGCCTCTTGAGTTACTGTGGTGTTAGCATTAGCCAGGAGAGGTGCAATGGCTTGGCTATCCGGGCATGAGCAGAAGAGAGCCTCTGCCTCACGTGGACCTGCCTCTGCTGTGCGGTGAGCATAAAGGTAATCTGAGGACACACACCCGTAGAGAAGTGTGGAGCTGATCTGCATTTATGGCACAGCCCCACCGGGTGGGTGTGTAACTCAAGACAGCGACGTGTAGCTGTTGACACACACAGAGCGGTCTGCTGGGCTTTGTGTCTTGGCAGACGGTCGCGTACGGGAACCATACTGAGGGCCGTATGGTTTGCAGGACTGATCTCAGCATGGTTGGTTTTTGCCCTTAACGCACGCTCAGTGCAAGGATTTGTGTGATGCGTCTTGCTGTTTGCCACCACCTCTTGCTTGTGTTGGAAGTTAACTTGAGCAGTGATCTTCTACTGCCTGCTGTTAATAGTTATTAATCAGTCAAAAATTAAAACTGCTACAGGAGAGCAGTTGGTTGATGTGATTAAATAAAAAAGCGAGGTCTGAAGAGCCTGTTGCAGTGGGAGCAGCCTTGTAGGCAGACTGCGTGTTCTAAGAGAGCTGCTGTTGGAGCTAAAACAGCTTGTCTTTGAGCGGTGGTCTTGCATGGAGCCTCCCTGGAGGCTGGAGCCTGCCTGGCACGGCACTTGCTACCTCCTTTTGCTTTTCTTTGCCTGCAGCTGGGTGCTTCCGTTGGTAGCTGAAGACAAGCCGAATTGAGACATAAAAGTTATAAGCAGGAGCTGTTTCTCTGAGTGGAGCCTGCTAGGCAAGCTCAGTTTGAGTCAGACGTGATCACTGAGGTTGCTACTTTAAACACAGCTTTGATATTTAAGTCCTCTTCCAAGTGTTTGGCCCCTTAGCAGTGCCTGGTTGCCCCTCTGCAGAAGTCCTTTCCCTGTTAGTGTTTGCAACGCTTGCTTTCCTGGGAGTTGCCCACTCTTATCTCGGGATGTAGAAGACTGGCAGACCTTCCAAGCTGATGGGTGTTGCAAGTCCCCTTAAGGTTTATTTATTTAAATCTTCCTGACCCCTAAATTTTGATTGCTTTTAACTTTGCTACAAACCTTGGGTTTGGAGGTGGTTTTGTTCTTTTTCTTTTTTTTTTTTAAATTGGCTTGGCTGTATGGGTTATTTACTGGTGATTAATGTCTCTAGGAAGAGCAGCCAGGAATCCTTATATCCCAACTTGGCTTCAGACAAAAGCACAAGGGTTTTTTTTGAAAGCACCAAGCAAATGTCTCTCTTATTGATAACCAAACCAGACATTTAGTTATTCCAGTAATTAAATATTATTTTATGAAGCCTGAGCTATTCCTGTTACAAAGCAGCCCTTCTTGCTATGATAAAGACAGAAATGTAATAGCAATTTGAGAGACCTGTAATGATCTGTCCCTCACCTGGCAGAGGGAATGGTACCAATGTGAATACACCGAATTGCTGTAAGGGGTGAGAGATCTTCACAGGGAAGCTATTTTTGATAGCTTCTGCTGGGAGGGAGATCTGTTACCAAGATAAATTTGTCTACTCAGCATGCCTCTGCTTCCCACTTCTGAAAGCCAATTAATTACAGCTCTAATGGCTAACAGTATTGCAGATGCAGGTTAATTTGTACTAATATGTCCCAGAAGATGGATTTTCTTTCGGTGGCCAGCAGCCAAGTTTCCACTAAAAGTATCTTTTTGTGGAAATGATGCTAAGTATCACTCCTGGATGCCACAGTCGTAGCATAGGATGTTTGCTGAAGATCAGCTGCTTAAACATCACCTAATTTGCTGCTCACCATAATGCTACACCCAGGGAACTGATGTGTCCCAGGTACTCAGTGGGGCACTTACTGACAATAAGCTTTATGTGAAAATAAAATTACTTTTTTCCCCAATGTAATTGTTGATGAGCATAAATTGCAGTCACATTGCATTGTTTGAAAACGTGGCCAAATAAAAACACCGGGCATCAGCAGAGCCATATTTCCAGTGCTCTGGTATATGAGAACAGACGTGGGCTAGATGAGCAGAACTGCTGATGTAGGATTTTTACCTTCTTTCTTTTTGTGAAGTCATTACATCGACAAATTTAAGGAAGCATTGTTCTCTCTGTTAATTATGAAGATAGCTTAACTATCTTTGGGTACTCTAAATAACTCCCAGATGAGATGATGTGGTTAACTATCTGGCTCTGTCAAGGAGAATTAATTTCTTTTAGCTTATCAAAGAAGACAGGAGCTGCTTTCGGTTGGAGTGAGGGCCTTAGGAAGCATAAGGAGATGGCGTGTGATAGTGGCAGGGAGAGGTGGGACCAAGGTGGCAATCTTGGCTTCAGTAATTAATTGCAGGGTGGGGAGGGGGGCAGAGAGCTTCTCTCCACCTTTATGGAAGACGGCTACGATCACTGTTATGGAGCTGTTGGTGCTCAGTTACGCTTTGCACCGTTGTGTGATGCTCGGGTGAAAGGCACTGAATAAGCATGAGATTACTGTGTAGTTAATCTCGCTCGATTCGCTAGGACATCCTGGAAAGATTCCCAAGACAGCTGGTGCAACTTCAGCAGGTCTGTAGATGAATGTGAATAGGTTCTTCTGTGGTGCCTCTAAAATGTTCCTTCATCAAAAAATGATGATTCATTCAGCATGGCACTTACTCAAATATCCCTTCCCTACCTAACTTCCTCTTTCAGAAGAGTTTTCCATAGTTTAAAGATATTGAAGCATCTCATCGCACTTTCACAAATGTAAATGTGTCTTGTTTCCCAACATGACTAAATAGGAGGAATGAGACATCTAAAACGAAATGAAGAATCCTGACTTTACCAGCAGAGAATCAAGAAACTTTTTATGAGTATCTTGGGGTTATCATTATATTTATCTTGGGCATTTTCATTTTTAAGTTGAATTTAAGGGGGGGGAGACAATCTCACCCTTCTCTAGAATTCTGGTGAGCAAGTTTTGTGGGAAGCTCTTGTGTAGGGGGTTGTACAGGAGACTGTGTGGAGAGGCTGCTTTACTCCAGGAGTAGAGATGACCAGCAAAGAGAGAGAGAATCTAGACTGCTGCTTGGTTGGTACTGCGTCAAACTCCTGAAGGAGGAGAGTAATGCACTGGTATTTTTCAGCTTGCAATCAGAAGAGCAACCCTGAAGAAGTCCTTTACCCCAGTACTTGTGGGAAGTGCTCTGAAGAACAAAGGAGTGCAGCCATTGCTGGATGCCGTCCTGGAATACCTCCCGAATCCTTCAGAGGTTGAGAACTATGCTATCCTTAACCAGGGGTAAGTATATTCATGAGCATGCGGAGTGGTTGTGGAATTGGGTTTCAACGCAGTGTAATATGTAGCAGGAAACATTACTAACAAAATATACGATCATTTACATTCATATTCAATAATGCCACCATAATTTTGCACAAACTTCCAAAACGAAGAAAGCTCAGCTCTCATATGGGAGTTACTGTTTATAGTGGTATTTTTAACACACATTAAATGTTAAATTTGAAAAATTATTATCTGACGAGATAGTTCTTTAGAAATTGATGGCAGCCCTTAAAACCATGCCTACGGTAGAGGAGAGAGCACATCTGAAGCGTGTGAACATTTTTTTCTTTGGACGTGTTCCTTGAAGTAGATGTGCATTCACAATGAAGAAGCATGAAACGCAACATTAGAGCCAGTAAATAGCCCTTAACATTAACCAGTCATGGCTTAGGGGTGACTGTTACATCTTAATGTGCTTGAATTGTTCTGACAATATAATTATAGCTAAACCAAAATGATACTAATAAATATAGTTTATGACTTTTTCTCCCAGCGGTTACCTGACTCTGACTCCTGACTACTGCTGTGCCTCTCGCTGCCCCTAACATCTGCCTACTAAGACAGACTAAAACTTCTCATGGGCATTGTCAGCAGAGTTACTGCAATGTCTCTTTCTTCACTCTAGAACTGGACTTGCTCATGAGTTGTGTCCAAGTGTATGATTAATTGCTTTCATGGCAAAATAATTGGATGATATGAAGGACTAGGGATATTTGTCATAGTTTCAACCTCCGTTTTGGGATCTGCTGCCGTTTTTCTGAGCATGTGGGGGCTATCGATGTGAGCGTCTTTAAGTCTCTGTTATAAACCTGTGAAACTGAAGGTCCTTGGAACTTTTTAAGGTTGGGTTCATGTTTAGAGGAGGCTGCAATGTTTGCTTCATAATGTAAACTCCATTCTCCATTCCTGTTTTTAAGGGATTCTGAGGACAAAGCCAAGTTCCTATTGAACTCTGCTCGAGACAATTCCCAACCTTTTATAGGCCTTGCTTTTAAACTGGAGGTAAGCAGTTACTGTTTTCCTTTCTAATGCAGCAAAACCAGTAGAGAAGCAGGGCATTTCCTGCTAGAGCTGTTGGTCCTGCTTGCACTGAGCTATTAGTGGCTTGTCACTGATGCCTGGAAATGCTTTTCCCCCCAAACAAAAGGCACACATTTAAAGCTTTATATCTATTTGAGTAGAAAACGGAGCGAGTCCAAACAGATGGTACTACCAAAACTTATGAAGAACAAATTTTAACATCAGCTTATGTTTAAATTCAATTTAAATTTAACTTCTTTTAAAATTAAAACTGGTTCCAACCGTAAAATCCACAAATGTATCGAACACTGCCAGTTTGGAAGTTTTAAAATGGGTTATGTGCCTCAAATACTTCATGGTTTTCTTAATTAAAACCCAAACATAGTGGGGTTTTGTGGGCTTACTGCAAATATTTTTCAGAAAAAAATCCTGGTTTTGTTTGAAGTTGAAAACAATGGAAGAAGAGAGAGTCAGAGAGGAAAAAGTACACAGTTTTAACCAAACAAGTTGTTTGCTATCTAGAGAGTAGCAGTTCAGATTTCACATGGGAGGTGGCTGGCCAAACTGGTAGTTAATGTATGCCTCTGTTGAGAAAGTTTAGGAATGGTAAAATTGGTGAAATAAAGAAAATTGCCAGGAGGTGCCAAGTTCCATTCCAGAGCCAAGTGAAAGCTGAGACTGCGTTAAAAGAAGTTTCATTTACATGTCCAATGTGTAAATTCAAAACAGAAACATTTAGGCAGCCAGTGCAAATGATGCTTTGAATAGTAGTTGTCTTGACTCCCAGAATGATTATATCTGATTTTTAATGAATTTTGATTCCAGGCTGGCCGTTTTGGGCAATTAACCTATATTCGAGTTTATCAGGGGATGCTGAAGAAATCTGATTATATATATAACACTAGGACTGGGAAGAGAGTGCGTGTACAAAGACTTGTCCGTATGCATTCAGACAACATGGAGGTGAGTGTGAGAGGTACAATCCACACAGATTGCCTTTTGAGCCACTCTGACTAAACAAGCTTCTCGCTTTTCCGCTATTTCTGAACGATGCAATATGTCACATTTGTGCTTTTGTTGTTAATTCATACTTGCCTGTAGCACTTACTAGAGCTCTACAAGAATCTGGAATGATCTTTGGTATATTATTTCCACTGAAGTGGAAGAATCTTGGCTCAAGAAGCATTATAAAATGGCTTTGAGGTGATAGCTAAAGCAAGCCAGCTGTGGTATTATCCCTATATTCCATATTTCTGGGAGAGGGGAAGTAGAATTGGCAAAATACATAAAAAAGTTTTCTTCCATTTAATTATTGAACACAATTCTTAAACTAACAATTGATTCTCAAACTGCAGCAAATACTACCCTTTCCTGTTTAAGATTCCCGAATTCTATAGCTGGGTCAGGACTGCCTGAAATGCCCTTAAACTAGAGTAAATTAGCATCTGAGCGAAGTTCTCCTTTTTGTGCTTTGAATAAAGAGATAGAAGATTTACAGAGCATTTTATCAAAGCTGGAATTTGCAAAGGAGCTGAACTTCACCTTTTAAACACAGTATTTATATATGTTCTTAAAACCAGATGTCTTTCAGTGTTATCTAAATAGTAAACTTTTCTTTCCTAAGGATGTAAATGAAGTTTATGCAGGAGACATATGTGCGCTGTTTGGAATTGATTGTGCTAGCGGGGATACGTTCACTGATAAAACTAGTACTGACATTTCCATGGTGAGTACACCTTTTCACCTCTGTGCCTCATGCATTGGAATTTGCCAGGATTTTGTTGTAACAGTTTGTAATCATTTGTTCAGTTTAAATGTTTTTTGATATATATGCAGATGCAGATTTTTGAGGGGGATTATTTGTTGTACCTCAGGGAGCCTGAATATATAGAAGTATGGTACATGCAAGAGAGAGACACAACTTTTTACTACACCTGACATCAATTGTTACTTCAGTGTTCGCAAAGTGTTCAGGGCTGTTTGAAGTGGATGCTGTTACCCAAAAGTATTATACTATGTATTTGTATAACTATTTGAATACATCAGGTTTTTCTAATATAAATATTTACAAAATGTGATAGGAAGCAGAGTCATGGTTGGCAGTATGGCACGTGTTACGTCACAGCCTTGCAGTAATCCTCAGGAGAGTTACATAATTTTATTACACTATGATATTGGATACAAGCTAGACAAGTAAAACGGTAATCCCTGTTTGTAACCCCGAGTTCTTCTGACGAAACTTCTGGAGAAATTACATCACCAAGTGTAGTGGAACTCGATTGTATGATCTCTTCTTTTATGGTCATTGCAGGAATCCATTCACATCCCTGATCCTGTCATTTCAGTAGCTATGAAGCCTTCCAACAAGGTAGGAGCCTATGAATCAACCTCTTCCTGACTGTGTTACTTTCTCTTTGCTGCTTTTATAATTTTACACAGGTTAGCAGTTAAATATGGAACCAGAGACTAAAATGAGGAGTGTTTTAAAATGTTCTATCTGAAGTACTTAAGAATATATCATTGAGATAACTCAGCATGTGACTGCGTTAGATGGTACCACTTAGCCATAAAGAAGATGTATATCTTTGATCTGGGTAATCATGCACTTAAAGTAACTGGAGGGATAAATACAATTATAAATGTATGGCTGTATTTCAGAAAATAACCTCATAGGAGCTAAAGTGCTAAGCCGTTGATAGGAAAATTTGAGGCCTTTTTGTTGTGTGACTTCTGGATGTTGAGTTAATATTTTCTTGTGTGTGTAATTGTTTTTCAGAATGACTTTGATAAATTTTCATTACCGCTTTATAAGGGAAGATCCCACTTTTAGAATCCATTTTGATGATGAGAGCAAAGAGACCATTGTTTCTGGAATGGGGGAACTGCACTTGGAAATCTACGCCCAGGTAATTTGGGAAGCAGATTCCATGGACTCTGCTCCTGACTGTTTTCCCAACCAAGAATTCCCTTTCCTTTCTGGCTGAGGCCAAAATCTATCTGCAGGTGGGTTAACCGATGCCAGCCTTTATGCCTGATTTTGTAATTGGGTGCCTAAGCATGTGTCAAGTTTGCAAGATGTTTGGAGGTGTACAACTCCACTTGCTTTAGTGTAAACCAGGGTTATTGTGTGACAACTCTTTTGAGAACTTCCTGGCAGAAAGGACTGTGGCATTAATGTGAACAACTCTAGCTGCTTAGGGAAGAGCTTAACTTTTGAAGATTCTTTCTCTCCCATGGTTCTATTTTGAAGGCTTGTAAAGTACTTAAATGAAACTTCTGCCTGGAATATTTTTACTTTTTGGTTCAAATCCATTAAAAAATGTTGTATTAAGAACTACGCTTGGCTTTAGCAGCCTCTGCTTATAATTAATTTTACTGTTAGCCATTTCCTACAGGAGAGAGAAATACTCTGTTTCTGTGTTTTTAAATGTATCATTCCATCATAAGAGATGATGCAGACAGGAGGGAGTAGTTACTTACAGTGATTTATTTGTTTCTTTCAAGTTGATGTCTATACTTTATTTTAGTCTAACACGATAGATGTATCTGAAATCTTGACAAAATTAAGAAAAACCCAAAAAAATCCCCACCAAGACCCCGAAAATCGATCCAACCCCAAACCAAAAAACTGGTTAACCCTGATTAAGTTTCTCATTTTAGAAAGATCTGTAAATAAAATAATTTCCCATATATTGTTCCAATGGAACAACTCTGTATTTCATTCTGTTTGTTTTTTTTTTCTGCAGCGAATGGAAAGAGAATATGCTTGCCCTTGCACCATGGGAAAGCCAAAAGTTGCCTTTAGGGAGAACATCTCCGCACCTGTGCCGTAAGTATTCTTTCTGATAACAGAGGGGTTTTTTAAATTTATTTTGATGCAGAATTTGATTATGTAGCAGAGGAAGTGCCTTTTGGATTATCAGATGAAAGCACAATGTACAGGAGAAGTTTAATTGAGGAAGGATGTTTTTCTTGTGTACCTTGATTGCATATCCACCCTCAGCAACTTCTGCCTTCCCTCCAAATCCTTACTGTAGCATTTGAGCTTCTTCCATTGGGGTATCGGGTGGTCCGTTATTCCGATGCGTGTTTTGGCTGACGGCTGTCCCGTGTTACTTGAACACCATGCTGTGGGTGCCAGAGAACTGTCATTTGCCAGGGAATGATCTCCTGTGGGTAGAAAATAAAACTGTAGAAAGTGAGAAGGTATTTTCTTTGAACAATACGTAACGGGAATTGACTGCTGTAATACAGCCATACCTGGGCTGATTGTAAGGAGGTTGATCAAGCACCAGTAACAGTGCAGGGTAAGCTCTGTAACACGCAGTCCTGTGACCTGTCCAAGTATCTGAAGTTCTCCTGCAAGCTTTTTTCAGTCTGTGTTGGGCTCCATGCTGCAGCAACTACGTTTTTCTTCATTTAGGCAAGTTTTGCAGCTTGAGTGTGTCTTACGTTGGATTACCTCTCTTACTGTCAGTGCTATGGATATTTTGGGACACCTGCCCTTCACCAGACAGAGTACAATGAGGAACCTCTGCTTTTGTTCTGCAATTAGTTAGCTACTGCTTTTCATTAATTTTTCTTTTAGAAAACTTAGGAACTAAAACCACTGTAGATGCATCAGCTTAACTGAGAGTACAGTGGGGTAGGAAGTAGTGGAGCTAGAAGTGGGAGTGAGATCTCTGTTATCAGTGGATGATTTATTACAGGAAGTTGCACAGTCAAGGGCTTCTGGTTTAATACTCCCTCAAATTTTCTGTGTTTTTCTTACGAAAACACTTGCTCACATCATAAAACTAGGATGCAGAATAACATAGAATGTAAATACTGTTCCGGGAACCAAAGTTTCTGCCGCTTGCTTGAGAGCTACTGGGGTGGACGGTGCCTCTGCGTACTGGTCCACCACTGCTGTCCTCTAGTGTAGAAGCACTCTGCAGCTGCAGCTGGAATGCAGCTAAGCAGCCCAGGGTGCTGGCAGCTGCTTCTTCCCTTTATCCCTCGCCAGTTTGGCAATAGTCTCTCTCAAGAGGAGAGAGCTGTGAATGACCAGTATATTGAACCTCTGCCATTCCCAGGAAGGCCCAGAAATAGCTGAAAATTACTGTCTGCTGACCCAAGTTGGACACCTGTTGTCTCCTGCCTGCATAGGGGCAGAAGCAGATAATGCTGAGACACACGGGTGATCGTTGCCCTCATCTCACCCTGTTTGCTAACTGACCTGCAGGCATCGGATCTGGGAACAGCCCACCATCTGTGTGTCTGAGTTGGAGGTTACACAGCTGGCAGTCTTAAAACAAAAAAAGGCTTTTTAGAAATAGGACTTTACCTGTGACACCATTTCGTGAAGTAAAATCATGTAGTCAAATTCAAGGTATTCATCACTTCTTTTCTGGAAAGACAAGGCGAAAAGGGCTGAATTTGGGTCTTCCCCCCACCTTAAAAGTAGCGAATTGGTTCTCTTTAGTTAGCATAAAAACTCTGATGTATTTCAGATGAAATTGGCATCTTGTGTTAACAAATAAAGCAGATGGAGCTTAGTCACTATAACAAAACAATACTCTCTTGTATTTCTGTGAACTCCAAAATTACATTTGAGAGACACTGAAACTTAAAACCATGCTATTTCCTCCCTCAAAGAAGCTAGATATATCTCAACTTCAGGAACTCATTTGGGAAGGGAACACCTGGTTGTATGAAGTGCCAGTTTAGCCCAAATAATCCTAAATAAAATTGTCGGTAGGATAAGACTTGGAGGGAACTGCTGCGGCCTACAGTGCATAACAAGTTATCAGTGATTGTGTGAGCAACAGAATACCCGCTGGCGTTTGTAACATACTCTTTACATATGTATTCGTCAGCAAAAAGAAAAAGAACAAAATTACTAAAGAGAGATGACAGCTGGTTTAGTTTAATCGTCTTCTGTCTGCCTTATCCTTAAATTCATCTGGTTTGTTAAAGAGGGCTTTAAAATCTTGCTCGTGCACCGCCCTGCAGCATCTGTGAATTGCTTTAAGATAGCCATCAGAGGGAGCAAAACGTTAACAAATTGCACTCCCAGAATGAGTTTCTGCCTTTCCTTCGTACCCAGAACCTCATGGGAATTCACTGGCTCTTCTGAGTGGCAAAACATTCGGGCTCTGAAACTCTGTTCTGAAGATTCCTGATATATTGAGTTTTCTAAACATGAAGTCCTGTTTCTCTATTCTAGCTTATGTCTAAATTTGCTGGAATTAAAGTTGATCGTCCCTTTAGGAGTTATTCTTAACTCACAGTATATTTTCTCCAAATAGAACAGAGAAGAACTGGGAGAATCTATAGAATTCTATTAAAAAAAAAAAAATCAACCAAAAATCTTGGATAATTAACTCACAGTATATTTTATCCAAATAGAACAGAGAAGAACTGGGAGAATCTATAGAATTCTATTAATTAAAAAAAAAAATCAACCAAAAAACTTGGATAATAACTTTTCAGAAAACAAGTTGCTTTATCAGTTAAGCCTGTTCCAGGTAACAAGTCTGCAAGGTCTGTTCATAATGGCAGCTAATGAGTCAATTAATTTGAATAACTATAGTGAGATTTGACAGTCATATTTACTTCTTAGCTTAGGGAAGATCCAGATCTGCTCAGGATAAATGCAGTACTAGCGATCACTCAGAAATAAGTGAAAACAGAAGATACGTTGTCCTGAAGTATTCTGTTCCGTTTCTTTCTTGTGACACATTTTCCTGAATGCAATTTTCTTATCATAAAATTAATTGATGCTCATCATGCTAATATAAGTCTAGGAGCATTGCTCCAATTGACTGAATTTTTCAGATCAGGTGGAAAGCTATCCCTGAAGTAAGTGTTACGGGAGCTATTAACTGGGTCATTTAAAAAAAAAATTTGAGAGAGCAGTTCTGCAATATGAATGTGTCAGCTAAAAAATAATTTTAGGTTTAAGATACTCTCCCCCACCCTCCAAAAAAAAAATTACTAAAAGTAAGTTTGGGAAGAACAAAGTGAAAAAGCTGCTACTGAGAGTGGAATTAAATCAGTATTTTCTTTCTTCATTAGCATTTTGAGGTGATCTAGCAAATGGATGGAGACTGGAATACTGCAAACAAAAGCAATGTAGGTTGTGTTTTCTTGAGTTTGAGGTGCAGCCCATTGCTATTTGTCTAGACATGGCTCTCGCAGAGATGTCAAGCAGTATTACTGTGACTGATTGCTAGATCACGGTAGATCAAGAGCTAAAGGACAGTATTCCAGTGCGTGTTATGCAGATAGGAGAATACCATCAGCTGGCCCTATACTACAGATGAAAGGCAGGAAAGTAATATAAAACTGTAATCAGCGTGGTGACCTCTTCCAAGTGGAAGAGTCAATTTTCTTAACTAAGTAAGCGTAGAATACTGCTCTTGCCAAGAAGACACAGCTTCTATAGGCAAAATTTATGAAGAGGAGGAGTGACTGAAATAACACTCAAGCCATCAGTGAAAGCCTTCATGATTTCCTAGAGGAAAGGGGCGGGTGGAACAAAAACCAAACACTGGCTTGAAAACAAACCAGACCAAGAAGTTCAGGCGCAATTGAGGTTTCTTGCTTAAGAACGTAGCTTCAGCTGTAGTCCAGTACATCCACAACTGCTTAGCTCCTAAATGCTGTCTTTGTTGCAGGGCATTGATGGTAGCTTACCACTTGCTTCACATGTTTAATTTGGGCAAGTTGGAATTTAGTGTTTTCAGTTGAATTCTGCCATATCACATAGCCAGAGGCGACCCACGCTAGCAGTCGGATGGGCTCCATTTCTGGGGACACGTTGCCATGGCTGTCTGACAAACAAAATAAATAATATACATTAAGCAAGATTCATGGAGTTGCAGCCATTAGCTTATCACCTAATAGTAGGGTTTGGTGCTAAAGGCACTCGCTTACGTTCCTTGCTGTGTCACAGATCTTCCATATAATCTTGGAAGAGCTGCTGCATCACCACTGTGTTTTCCTCCCACTTCTTTCTCTTAACATATATTCTATAACGTCTTCAAAGCAGGGGCTGCTCTAAAGTAAGAGCAGACTCTAGTGCTACAGTTGGGGTGTCTGACGTACTATGCCAAGGACAGCCACAAACAGGGAGCAGGATGCTGGTAAAGGAAGAGGTAACGGTAGCAGGTGGTTTTCGGGAACAGTCACATGCGAATCATGTATTGGTTCTGGATTTCAGAAATTATGAATAAGTTTAGCAGTGGTGTGACTGACACCCCGCCCTGAGTAGGAAAAGGCAAAGCCTGTGTTCAGAGTAGGGCTCATGGCCCGATCCCCCTCGGTCCTGGCTTCTGTCCCACATGGATTGTGGACCACCAGCCGTTGAGCTCCGGTTTGCTTCTGACCATGGAGCACATTGTCTCAAAAACTTCCTTGTCGCCCAAACCCCTTCTTTGTACCTGGTATGTTTTCTGCGACGAGCTCTTTTTCCAGGCTCTTGATTCGATTGTAGAATATGTTATCTGCTTCATCTGCATTCTTAAGTTCTCCTTCAATTGTGAATTGCACATCTGGAGCAATGTTTTTGTTGCCCAGATGATAAAGAACCTCAGCAGTGCAGTTAACAGTACTGTCCTGTTAGAGAGTTAATTATGTGTATTAATATTTGATTAAATGCAGGTATAATATTGGTAATTTGCACTTATAAAATGTATTCTTTTCTTTATGTAGCCGCTGTTTTCTCTGAGTTTGGCCCATAGAGATTTGTGATTATTTAAGACAAGGTTAAATGCATAGTATTTCTGTGAATCTACTGTAAGGGCAGTTTTCTTTCTGCAGTGATGGAAAAGGCAGTGTTTGTGGTGCAGAATGTCACTTGTGCCATTCGGTTGGACTAATGGTTTCAAATAACTTCAATTTGAAATTGAATGACACTGAAACGTCCTTGTCATCCCTCACGCATTTTCTTGTGTCATAGTGGTAGGTACCAGATGTTCAGAGGTTTTATGGTGTAAGAAATGAGGGCTCCCTTTTGGTAAAATTTAGGCTTTTTTTGGCCTTATTTGCAGTACAGAAAAATCTGAAACACAATACCAGGTATTATTAACTGCTGTGTCCACTGGCCTTAGCTAGGATCAGCAGCATAAAGCCATGGCTTCTTACTACACATCAGTAGTGCCAGCTTCTGCCCGCAGAATGTATTAATTAAATAAATCTGAACTCACTTTGTCGAGGACATCTTCTAACACCAATTCCAGGTAGTACTTATGTCCAACATCATCGATGTCCTAAATAAGGAAAACATTAAGAACGTTTATTTTGTAAAATGTTGAATTATTTTGCATTGTGGAAAAGACTGTAGTTACTGTGAAGCGCTGCAGCAGTGTCACTCTGCAGGGCCCATACAGAGCTAGGATACTCTCTTTATTTTTTCCTGCTGTGTAAAGATTGCCCATTTAATATGCGCCTGGTGTAGCGTCTGGGTAGTACCTCCTCATCCATTTCTAGTCTTGTATACCACTTAATTGCCGTATTTAGGCTCCCCGTACGGTTCTGTCCAATAACACGCTGCTTGGTTAAATACTGAGGTAGGAGTCTTAATTGGATTCCTTATATTAAGTCCAGTTTGCACTTCATTATGAATTGTGTCACGTCATATATTTATTGGATATCTACAATAGTGCTTTAAGCCAGCAGGTTAGTTTTGCTATAAGCCCTATTCTGGCAGGTTTACCAGCAAGTCCAGAAGAGGTCAGGGGTGAGGTCTGTCCCAGCAGCTGTGAAAAGAGCATCCTCCTCCCACGTGAGTTTCCTTGCGGGGCTGAGTAGGGCCCGATGCCGCGATTAAATACCGGGGAGGGGGCACGGTTCCTGCAGTGGCGTTGCCGAGAGAGGCACGAGCACAAAGCGTGTTTCACGCTACA